CACACACACACGTGCACTGACAACTCGTTAACTGAGCGGAAGTTCGTCAGTCTTAACAGAATTTCTGCTCGTGGCTCACTCGTCACCTGAAATGCTCGTAGATGGGGCTGCTCAGCAGTCGAGGCTCCACTGTAAATGTATTCGCTGTTGATACCGGGTAATTTATTTAAACGGACAACTATTTGAGGCGGTAACAATAAAGTTGTTAGTATTGATATTACTTTTAGTTTAATTAGTTATACTTTACTTTTAGTTCAGTTGGTACTTGATGATTTATTTTATTAATTAAAGTTAGTTTATTTAGATACCACCAAAGTTGAATAACTAGACTAACATAACTAATATATGCTAAACTAAAGTAAGCTTAACTTGAAAAAAACTAAGTGAACTGTAAAATACAATAAAATTGAAACTAAACTAATAAACCGAATAATACACTAAAACCCAAAGTATACTAATACCGTCGCTCCTATAAGATATAATTCTGGGGTTAAGGGTATCCAAGGTGGATGACTAGCTGTGCTCTCACCCTTGAGGTGAAGTAAATGCCATCGTTTGGATAAGAACTATTTTTCGCCGGACGTTTCGGATCCGTGCTCTAATCCATCATTAGAGCCACCATCAAGTATGGATGTACTTTACGCACGTACTGATATCAGAGTCTGCAGACCAGATACGCACATTATTGTTGGCAGAGACAAGGGAGACTGGAATGGCCATTTCGGGCTCATTAGTCGTCGTCAGCCAGTCAGCACCAGACTCAAGTGGGGCACCACCCAAGTCTCGAACTCGGGACCCTTTTTGATCAGAGTCGAATGCCCTGACAAGAGACTGTTCGGAGTTTATTTTTGAGCTCTGGTTGACGGCAGAATAATGTGTCCGGCTAATGTGCTTTAAAATACGCCCAGATTTTTAGTTTGTCTGGTCACGCTAGGACAGGCACTATGCGCACTTTGCCCCAGCGAGTGCTTGCGTCACAAATGCGTCCAGGTTGCCGGCCTTGACAGAAAGTGCCCTGTGGTTTTGGAAGTGGTTAGGCTATTTTTAGGTCTTACTTTAACTTCGACTTGGGAAGTAGACTAGGAAGTCTGATTTTACCAAAATTGGAAGAACTATTGGAAGAAATCCTGAACAGAAACTGACGTATGAAAAGTTAGGAGATAGATTCGAAAGCTCAGGACAATAAACAAATAGCTCCGGTGTCCGACCAAGTCCTCTTCCTTATCCATGAAATTAACTAAGTTGCAGTCAGCTTATTCAAAGGAACATTTTTCAGGCAAATACAGTGGATTCCTTTACTCGTGAGATGTCAACTGAAATTCTAAAAAAAAGTTTTCGAGAAAAATACTTAACTAGGCTTGTAAAATTTATTGTCTTAAAACTTTATTTCTTATTTCTGACTTCTGAGTGCGTATCCTCCTAACCGACTGCAAAATTACATTCTTCAACAATGGATACATAGGTAGCATGCAGTTTATTATCATTTATTTTAACTGATCGTATAAATTCTAACACAGTTTACCGAAAATATGTACAAAAGTTTCCTTTCTCATACTTGTTTGGTAGCAAGCTGCACCTTCTTCTACTATTATACTTGAAGAAATGATATTTTTCGGTCTTACTTAGTTTCTAGACAGTTTTTCAACTGCTGAATAAGGTTGAACACTATCATCCGTTGCAATTGAAATTAAGGTTTAGAACCGGCATAGTGTGCACACTTCTTCTAAGGAAACCTTAATTTTTTCCTACCGTATTTATTTATTTATTGCCGGTTTACAGGCAATGGGGGTGAAGTCAAGTAATTCTCCTAAGATTTCGTAATGGATGTGGATAACGCTGTATAGTTGATAGGTGGCATTAATATACTGACAGATAGGATGTATCATGCATTTAAAGTTATCGGTTGTAAAAAGCTCATAAGCATAAACCCAATTTTCAAGTATCATGTTTGAAGAAGGCACAATTTACTACCAACGAGTACAAGAACTAATATTTTTTTGTGTATATTTTCTATAAAGTATGTCCGAATTTATCTGGGCATAGAAGATTAAAGATAAAAATGTATACTGGTTGAATAGCAATTTTTTTTACAAATTGTTATTTTTGCAGATGGTCAGAAAAGATCCAGGTCAGGTCAGATCACGTTTATTAAGGGAAATGTAGGTAAACGCCTTTGGACTCCCTAGTGGTACAGAACAACTATGAAATGCATTGGTTCAGCAGAACATTTCAAAAGAGTGGCGTTGCCAGTATGGGAACTGGGTAAAAGGAGGCGACAGTGAAAAAAACTCCTTGGGCATTGTTCGAAAATGCCATTTGAGGGATTTTAAGGAGAAAAACTATCGCCGGTGAGGGAGGGGGAGGAGTATATGCAAAAATGGATGGCCTGCTGTTGAGTGTTTGGAGCATGTCAGGAGGAGCCCATCACGGTTTTTATCAATATCCTAAGGGTCACACGAGGAGAGGATCTCAGCGGTCACGAGAGCATCACCGAGTGTCGGAGATGCGCCCATCTTTACGCCCTCGCTAGTTACCGAGTCTACCGTCCAGGTGACGAAACAGAGGGCCCCACCATGATCCTCAGCAGTCGGTTATGGATATTCATTAGGAAGAACCTCGCAGGGCCATGTAGTCTAGGACCACGAGTTTTGCTGGGAGCGATTGTTTTAATTCTCATAAAAGGAAAAGCGTACGAGGTAATAATTCTAAACAAACATATTACTCACATACCTCGAGATAAAGATGTACAATAATCATTATTACAACCAAACTTTATTACTATGTTCCAATCGAAAACACAATTTGGTTAACATTTCATGACTTTACTCGTGATGCTTAAACCAACTCCAGCTGATTGTGTTGTTTTTATGTGTAATGATGTGACTTGTCTCTTATCCTGCATCACACATTTATAGTGTCTCTGGTCTACACGGTGATGGATCAGTCCTACTGGCAGGCTATCTTTAATTCTGATCCGGAATCTGGCGGGTTCAGCCTTCTCGCTGCAGCACTCATCTGGTTTCCAATGCCAGCAGTCTTCGGCACAGCCTGCGGCCTCGGCTATCTGGCGCTCAACATGGCCTACGGTATGGTACAACTCAGCCCGGACATGGAGAAAATGGGTAAATGGCTGTCTTTTTGTTTTTTTTTTGCTGGGAAATTTAGGAGCAGACTACGGCTTTTCATTGGACATACAGCAGGTACGAGATATGTATGTAACGTCGCTGAATATCTTTTATTGGTCAGCAGTCGGCCCAAATGCATGATAGGAAAACACGGCTTTACTGAAGAAATACTTTCCACTACATGAAACGGCTTAGGCAGTAAACAAAAAACTAATATTACGATCACTAGAAATAATAATTTGATTTCATAGAATTTAAAGATCACTCAATCAACTGCGTACGGTCAATGCCTTTTCATAAGAGAAGGTCAACTGAAAATCGACCAAGAGGTAGGAGACATGATAGGTACAGTAGGTACACATTCTCATGAAAAACGTTGGAAAACGTAATGAATGTCATTTTGAGGGAA